CTTTAACCCTAGGACCTAATGGGTCCTCATGATCGCCACCTGTTTCTGAAACACGTTTGTCAAAATTATTAACCAAATGGTTTGAGAGTCCGAGGCTTTATTGGTTACTGGACTTCAAATTATTGGATTTGTACTAAAGGAATGAGTGATTATAACCACTTTTTTTCAGTTATTTACCTCAAGTATTGTAATAGGAAGACAAAGTTTTTCTGTATGATGTACCACCGGAAGTAATAGAATATTAATAAATCTATAACTTAAATATGTTATACGTTTATGGATTTTCTACAATATATTATAATTAGCAGCTTCTGTATTATGAATATAGCTTCATTCTGTTGGGGTGGTTTGATCTAAGTTTATCCGTATCTGTAGGCTTTCTGTATATGAGTTGTTACCTTAATTAGCCCTCCTTGCAATAATGTTTAGGAAACCATCAGATACGGGTAAAAACCAAACAGTAGAGTACGTATGGGTAGACTCACGTCTAATTTGCCAAATAAATTCATAATTGTATTATTGTAGTCAATACAGAAAAAAATAAAGTCATTAACCATACTGGTAAAGTTAGCTAATTCGGCACTTTTGCATAACCCCTATTTTCCTCCCACCCCATTGGCTAAGTCCAAAATTCTACGAATATTCCAGGTACATCAACTATAAAACATTTTTTTTTAGATAAATAAAAACGATGTGTTCATCATGTTTGTCATGTGTTTTGGTGTTGATTATCTAATCAACTTTGCCTCTTTCTCAGTGCAATACTTCAGTTCAACATAAGAGCTTATTTCTAAGAAAACACAAAACACACTCTGCGTGTTATTGATAAGAACCAAAAAAGATGTAAATAATCTAGATCGTTACTTTTAATTGTTTTATTATATTAATTTTCACTAGGCTTATCTAAGACTTATTATGGTTGTGATTAAAAGATAATGTAAGCTGTTTTGGTATCAATTATACTATAATAAAGTTCAATAATGTTTGTTTACTAATAAATTAGTGAAATGCCTTGAAATATCTAAATTCTATGAAAATTTAACCAACAAAACGCATAGAATTACGCCAAATCCATTCCTGAAATCCATTTTTTTTTCTTTTCATAGCGAGTTCATGGCCAGGTGGTTAAGGCACTCGACTCGCAATCTGAGAGTCGCGGGTTCGAATCCCCGTCACACTAAACATGCTCGCCCTTTCAGCCGTGGGGGCGTCAATCCCACTGTTCGTTGGTAAAAGAGTAGCCCAAGAGTTGGCGCTGGGTGGTGATGACTAGCTGCCTTCCCTCTAGTCTTACACTGCTAAATTAGAGACGGCTAGCGCATCTGGCCCTCGTGTAGCTTTGCGCGAAATTCAAAAACAAACAAACAATCATAGCGAGTTAAGCTTCTAGATGTCATTTGTGGATTATTTTGTTCCAATGACATGAGATTTTCGAGAGTGGAATATTTTGATAATATATAGGAATTTTTGGACAGCCTCTTGGTAATAACAAACTAGGTTCCCAAAATGTTTACCTGAGAAAAAAATCCAAATTCAAACTGATTGTCAAACGAAAACCAAAATATTTAATACCACCTTGTTTCTTTGTTACTTATTTTTATCTCACTCGTTTTAAGAAACTGGTTAATATCAAAAGGGTTTTTAACCCGAAAGTGACAAATTAAAAAAAGGGAATATCTTTTCAAAATAACTTAGCCAGATTCCAAAGAGCATAAAAAGTATCAAAATTCTAAAATCTTTTTTGTTTCATTATTATTCATTTCAATTTAATAACACATTTTTAGACCATTATACCTTTTTAGAGTTTGAAGTTGATATAGAAACAGTATACTTTTATATTTATTGTTAACTTCAAATACAGAAATGATTGAGAGGGTGGAAATTGGGGAACATCTTGGCGCAAGTGATCATTGCTCTATTAGTTTCGATATTTTGCTGCATATGGAGGTAAGGAATAATAATATTTTGATTGCAAATTTCAAACAAGTAGATTTTGAAAGAATGCGTCAAAAATTATCTGTTGTGAATTGGGCGGCTGAGTTATTTGGAGACATTAATCAAATGTGGAAAATTTTTAAATATTCAAGGTAAACATATTCCTTATAGAAAGAGAAGGGCGGCTGCAATTAAAAAACCAAGTAAGCTCACAAAGGGTATATGAGATAAAATCTTGCACCATCAAGATAAGATTGAGGAAAGTTAAGAAGCCAAAAGCGATAAAGCAACTCGATTATATGATGGTAATGAAAAAAGATACGATTAAAGAAAGGTATACAGTCAGTTAAAAACCGTTTTAAACAATTTGAAGTTGAATGTTATATGTCTATATGAAATAAGCACTAGTTGAAACAGCCAAGGAAGTTATTCCCATAAAATTATGGTAAAAGAAACAGAAACGGGTGATGGAGGAAATTCTTGAGCTCATCGAAACTAGAAGGAAGATGAAAACCCATAGTATGGAATAGTATATGAAACTTGGCGAAAGAACTAAATCAATGTGCAATGAAGAAAAGGAAAATGGCTTAATGAAAAATGTATAGAAATAGAAAAATAAAAGAATAAATATGTTGCATCAATGTACAAGAATATCAAAGACATCACAGGTAAAGAATAATGTACTGATAGTGGATGTTTAAAAGCTAAGAATTTGGAAGTAATTATGGAATGAGAATAAGTATTGAAAATATAGACAGAGTATATTGAAGATTTATTCCATAACAGTCGTGAAGAAAAGACATTTAGTAAGAAGAACATGGATGGATTGAATTTTCTTAAGTTAGAAGTACGAGCAGTTATCAACAGAATGAAACCAATAAAGCTACAGGACCGGATGAAATTGCAGTAGAACAAATAAAATGTTTGGAAGAATTTGGCACAGAAAACTTAAATACTGTTAACAATGAGTTTATAAAAGTGATAAAATACCTGAAGATCTCAGTAAGTCGATCTTTATTGCGTTTCCCAAAAGACCTAGAGCAATTGAATGTGAACACCGTTAAATTATCTGTTTGATGAGATGTGTGGCAAAGGTCCTTTTAAAGGTGTTGATGATGAGAGCTCGAAGTAGAATAAGACTGGTGTGTGTGTTTTCTTATAGCAAAGCCACATCCGGCTATCTGCTGGGTCCACTGAGTAGAATGGAACACCTGATTTTAGCATTGTAAATCCGAAGACTTACCATTGTCCTACCAGGGGACAATAAGACTGGTGATTGCAAAAGTTCATTGTGGTTTTATTGAAGATCATGGTTAAAACTTTCTACCTTCATGGTACGAGTACTTTCAGAGAGGGCAATAGAAATGTAGAAGGATCTTTTCTCCCATTTCATTTATTATACCAAAGCTTTTGGAAAAGTCAAACATGTGGAGTAAATGAAAATTAAATTCTGGAGAAATTGACATTGATGGTAAGGACTTGAGAATATTAAGAAATTTATATTAGGACCAAACTGCAGCAGTGACCATAGAAAATGAATTCATTGATTTCGTCTAAATTAAAAGAGGTGTAAAGCAAGGCTGTGTCTTTTCACCTGACTTGTTTAATTTTACAGTGAGAAAATCCTGAGGGAGATTAAGGATTTACTAGGGCTGATAACTGGAAGACAAAATTTGAATTAATGGTGATGATACAGTTTTAACAGCTAGTTCAGAAGCTGCAATACATTTTAGATAAAGTTGTTAGTGGAAACAAGAAGAAAGGTTTAAGTATGAACTGTAGGAAAACAGAATGCATGGTAATTACAAAGAAGAAGATCATTCTTATATGTATTGTCAAAGTAGATAAGGAATCGATAAGGCTGGTTAATAAATTCAACTACTTGGGAAGTTGGAAAATATCAGATGGTAAATATGACTGAGAAATAAGACGGAGAATAGAAATAGCAAAAAGACGTATTTCTGAAAATAAAACAAATGTATACTAATAATAAAATTTCTATAGGGATGACGTTAAAAGTTTTGGATTGCTATGTTATACCAATCCTCAAGAATGCATCGGAATGTTGGACAGTATAATCAAGTACGGAAAAGAAACTTGAAGCAATAGAGTTGTGGTTCTTAAAGCACATCTTGAAGGTATGTTGGACAAGTCACAACTGAAATGAAGATATTTTGTCAAGAACAGGTCGCAGGAGGAAGCTGCTGAATAACATCATAAAGAGACACTTGGAGTTTCTTAGACACATTATGAGGGAAAAAAGAAATTGAAAGCCTTGTCATGGCTAGAAAGATTGAAGGAAGACCGAGGTGTCAGGAGTCTATCTATATGGACGAATGTATTGACATTGGAAATTCTTTGTGCCTCAAGGAGAAGAAACCTATAGAAGACCATGGTCACCAAGTCTTAGTTGGATATGATACATAGAGAGGGAGAAGGAGGGAGACCTACTTCAGCAGCCACGTTTGAGTTATTAAAAAGTGTCTTACTAACAATTACTAGAGTGGCTAATCCTTTACTTCCGCTGGTAGAGCACTCGCCAGTCTCGCCTGGTGTGCGAAAGGTCTTGGATTTGAATCCAAGCCGAGGACGTGATTAAATTTTAAAAGAATATCACACAGTCTTACGGTGCAATAGAAACTAGTCACTGACTTGAAGATTTAATCAAAATTCTGTTTCATTTGTTCAGTTGTGTCTTTTTGTTTTTACTTTGCTGTCCGTGTTTTTTGGAAATTTTTATTCTTATTTGTCAGATATCTCTATACCTGAATACAAAGTAGTTCGGTATACAAGCTGAAAACACTTTGCTTGTATCGTTTTTTTTTTCTTCTGAGATATTTCATGAGTCACAGAAAGTAAAAAGAGAAAGGTGATCTACTCAAAATAATGGCCTAAGTTGAGGCTGTGTTAATTATACCAACGTATAATAAAAATATAAAAGTTACAGGCAATTTTTAAATAATTAATAATAAAGCTCGTTCAAGAGAAAGAAAGAGTAAACTGAAACGCAATTGGCGTATTGTTGATTATTATCATACATTGTTATTAGTTTTTATTTTATTCGTTGCCTTGTATTACAATATTGTATTTACAATATAAAAAAAAATATAATTCACTCATTTACATTCTTCTATCTGTATTGGAAGTGTGACGAGGTGAAAGTTAGGTAAGACAGATATTAAGGCTTACGTTAATTTTTTGCGGGTGTTTTCTTGAATTTAAACCCTTGTAGAAGCTGTGCTAAAGGCGAAATCGTGTTTAAAATATGGACAGCGTGGAAAAACTTTACAGAAACTATGAGATTTTGGCAGACGCAAACGAAAAAATTTTAGAGGTAATAAAAGTTTATATAATTATATTTATTTTCACTATATAGTTTTAAAGTTTTATGAACTAATTACCATTAGGTAGTTAGGCTTAATAGCAGCCTTTCGGAATAGCTTAAATTATTTCATTCTTAAGTTTACTAAGTGAAACTTCAAGTTTAAACTGTATGTTCTACGCTAAGTTCAGAAAGCAATTCTAATGAAAAATCACCATAGACTATCAGCATTATCACTGCCAGTACCACCACTAATAAAAAGTTTACGTTCAGTTGCTTTAAGATGTTAATTGTTAATGTTATAATATCATTTATGCTTAATTAACGCTGTCACTAGTACTACTACTACAACTAGTAGTAGTAACACTAACAACAGTGTTTATATTTAAAAATATGATGATTTATATATATAATATTATTAACTTCATAAACAGTAATGCTAATAACTGGTAATAATTGGTATTACTAGTATTAGTATTAGTCGTGTTTGCAAAGTATCACAAAATTTAACTGTGCAGCTTTATTATATAGTTTACAGTTGAAACTTTTTTATGCCTAAAACTAATTGCTATTGTTAATATCATTGTCAGTGGATATTACTCATTACATTCACAGTGTAAAAATTACTTAATTAGTATTATCTCAATCCCAAAACATGTGGAAATTGCCTGTTGTTTTATAGACTTTGTTATATATTGAAAGTGTCTGATTCTTTAAAGGCTCTTGTGGTATTGTAAGATTATGTACATGTAACTTGTTGAAATAAATCTTAGAGTGAATGTGAATTTTCCACCACCACTACATCCATTAAATTATGTAGAGTGGGGGATCTGTTTGGCATCATATCTTTGCCAATAAATTGGCATATTTTCAAGAACCATATAATTTTTCGTTACTGTGGTTTTGTTCATAAAAATTAAAATGGTCAAGTCTGATGCCTTTCACTGGTTATAAATGTCCAATTTCATTGATCTTTTTTATAAACTTTTTGGAAAGAGTTCCATATGGCACCCCCACCCAAAAATTGTAGAATTGCCTGGATAAAAAAGATTCTGAAAAGGGTTTATTTTAAGGGGCGTATTAGAAAAATTGGGGCATGGCTTTGACAAGCATTTGTGTGAATACATGTGGAGAACATTATATTCTGATAAAAGTATCTAAAGGCATCAAAAAGGTAACAAATGTCTTAAAGTTTATTCCCAATTATATTGTACATCTAATTAATGAAGTAAGTGGTATAATAATGTATTAAAATTATCAGATCATACTATTAATACATGAATATTACTTTGATGAATTTTTTTTTAAATTGAGTGGGGGTGCCATATGGAACTCTTACCTAAAACCTAATGCAAAGTACATTCTAAAAGTCCTATTGAATAAAACTTAATATAAAAATAGATTATAAAAGTAATGGATATCAAAAGATTCATAGTAGAATGTTTAAAAAAGCTATAAATATATAAATTAAAGATAATTTAAACTTGCCCAGTGATGACAGCATAGGAAACTGGAAAAAAAAGATAGGATAGCCTGTAAAATGAAGTATTTAGAAATTGGAGAGCAGAACAAGTTAAATAATAGTGTTAAAAATAGATCTGTCAGATTTAAAGTTAAACAGCAGATTAAAAATAAGCTTAGATATTATTGTATTGTTGAGGATGAGGTTGAGAATGGACAAATTCAGGGTTTTAGTTAAAGGGAAGACTATTATATAGTGGAAATTACTTAAACATGGCTAGAACATTGATAATAGAAATTAATTTTAAATTTTAAGTTATTTAATAGTGATAGACATTTTGAAAGTGTGTGGAGGCCCTTTATAAATTATGAACTACAGCCAATTAAGATTGAAGACATAATCAATTGGCTTGAAACTATTTAGGGTATTATCAGGTTTTTTTTTATAACCACTTCAGGGTTGTTACTAAACTTTAATTTTAAACATTGATTGGAACTGTATGGAGTCAGATAGTGAGGAGAGATTTCTTAGTGATTCATGATGGACAATTTTCTATACCAAATTATCAGAAAGCCAACCAAGAAAGATAACATTTTTAGATTTATTAACCACTAATGAGAATATGGTTGCTACAGTTGAAATAGGAAAATATTCTGGAGAAGAGTGGTCATTGCATTATTAGGTCTGATGTTTTGTTACATGTTGAGAAGACCTAGAATGGCCATGTGGTTAGTGCATTCACTTAGCAATCTGTGAGTTCAAATTCCTGTCCCACTAAAATTGCACATTATAATGTTATGGTCAGTCCCTCTATTCATTGATAAAAGAGTAGCCCAATAGTTGGTGGTGATGATTAACTGCTTTCCGTCTAGTCTTTCACTGCTAATTTAGGGACAGCTAGTGCAGATAGCCCTCTTGTAGTTTTGCACGAAATTTAAAATAAACAAACATGATTGGATTTAAAAAATTAAATTTTTGTTCAGAATTTTGAGGCCACGAGACAAGATGCATCATTAATGAATTTTTTCAAGAATGTTAAAGGTAAATGTAATGTTATGCTAGAGATTGAGTTCAAAAGAATGCAGGTGGTAAGGGTTTTAATGACTATTGGGATGAGTGAACTTTTATTATTTTCTGTTTCTTGCTAGATTAAATATGTGAGTATCTCTCTCATTTTTAGTAGGTAGGTAAGTAAACATTGGACGGGTGGTTAAGATGAGAGTTGCTAATTTTACTCTCTTTTTTTTAAGTAGGGTGATAAGAGATGTCCTGCAGTTAGTCACACTTCTTTAAATGGAAAAATTGTAGAGACTCTGATAAATGAAGTTTTACAAAGTAATTTAGTGAAATATGATAACCCACAAGAAAGACAATATGGATTCACTAAAGGGAAACCTTACTTTAATAACGTGTTACCTTTATCTTTAAGAATGTTACTGGACAATGGAAACGATGTGGACTTAATTGTACTTAAGGTGCCACTTAGAGGTAAGCTAAGAAAATGACAGATGGTAGGGATTGGGGGAAAGATTAGTTAATTAAATTGCATGGTGGTTGGATTAGAGAAAAAGATTGTTAATAATAGAATTCAGTCATATTAGCCCTTGTTACAAGTGGTGTTCCACAGGGGTTGGTGCTTGGGCTTTTCCTTATTTACATTAATGATATTGATAGAAGCTGGATTTAGCACAGAGAAATAAGAAGCCTTTATCTTGTTGTATCCTTCAATAAAATAACCTGTTACCCTTTTGCCAAGAGAAAACAAGTAAAGAAAACTTTTCCTCATAATATAGCCCTTATATTTCTGGAACCATTCTTGGATCTTTCCTTTGAATCACGGTGCAAATAGCCCTCATGTAGCTTTGCACAAATCCTCTGAATCACATGTTCAGTATAGATAGGAACGCAATCATTCTAGCCATCTAGGTAGTACTATGTCAGTCTAGTCTATGTCAGTTATAATGTCTGGATAGTCTGGGCATAGAGTTAAACCCACCCTCACCTGAATCTAGATACTTGTTCGTAATATCATATCCATATTTTATTTATGTATGTAACTAATAACTTTATACATTATATAATTTTTTATCACTTTTTCTTGTTTAAAATTGTCACTACTAACAAATAAAAGATACTTCATTTATAATAACTTTGTTTTTTTAAAAAGTAACTAGAAATGTCTGTAGGCTCACCAAGAATTACAAGCAAGAACCACAACAAGAATAAAAAAATTTACAAATATGTTGAGTGGGGAAAAATAGCAGCAGTGTCATGCTTAGACTTGATCAAACATTTTTTTGTTGGTGTTAAAGGATAGATGTGCATATGTTGTTACATAAGAATATGGTTAAGTGAATGAAAAGTTCCTCCACAAAGTATTATGTAAAGTTTAAAATTAAACTAACTTTTTTGAACATAGCCTTGAAGATGAATGACATGTGTTTTGAGTAAGCAATCATCTTACAATCAGGTTGTTAATGCCCTGATTAAAAAAATCACTTGGCTTTGAAACAAAAAACATGTTGATGTCCTGTTTGACACCTTCCCCATTTGCTTACGTTTTCCCCATTAAAATGGTGTTGCAGCAAACGAAAAAGATGGTAATCTGATGGTGCCACATCTGGAGAAAACTTCCCAACCCAACTCCGTAATCTTGTGTTGCGTCAAACATGCCACATGTGAATGTGCATTGTAGTGAAGAAGAACACCTTTCCAATTGACGAGTGAAGTGTATTTCTGATGAAGG